CTATTCCTGAAGCACTTCCCATTCTCTCCCCAGCAGCTGGTGGGAGCTGCAGCCTGCACGTGGCATGGAAAGTTTTGATGGAAACCAAGTAAAGGACCATCTCCTGGCCTGTGGAATTCTGTTGGTTCTTACCCCCTTAAAACTGTGCTCTTCAGATTTGGAGCACTGTGGCAGCATTTTAGTTTTATCCTTTTCTTCCTTTAACTACTGAAGGATGGGGTGTGTCCATTGCAAGCTTGTGGACAGCAATGTAAGAGATAAACCCCATCCTCTAAAGGTGCTGAAGTTGCTTTTTTTACTTCAAAAAATGCCTGTTTCAGGCTGCTTTGCCCCTGGGTCTGACACCAGCCCCTCACTTATCTTCTGAGTGGGGGTATGGAGGAGAAGGTACCAGAGGGGCCAAGCTGGAGCTTGCAGCAGTGTCTGCTCCTCCAGCCCGTCAGCCAGGCTCAGAGCCTCCTCCTCTGCCTTTACCACCCCACGTATGGGCTGCTGAGCCCCAGAACCCGTTCAGCCTGTTCTGGCTGCAGGAGCAGTGTGTTCCGGGGCGTCCCGCCGCTGCCGGTGGTTGCAGGGAGATGACCAAGTCTATGAGGTCTGCCTTGAGCTTTGCTGGTTCTTCCTTGACCTACATTCTGATGTGCCTGAGGAGGAAGCTTCATCTCAGTTCTCATTCTTTTGCTAGGGATAATTGGGAATTTTGCTTGAATTGTTGGGGTTTTATTCACAGAATCCCAGCCTGGGTTGTGTTGAAGGGACCTTAAAGCTCCTCCAGCTCCAACCCCTGCCATAGGGACCCCTTCCACTGGAGCAGCTTGCTCCAAGCCCCTGTGTCCAACCTGGCCTTGAGCACTGCCAGGGATGGGGCAGCCACAGCTTCTCTGGGCACCCTGTGCCAGCGCCTCAGCACCCTCACAGGGAAGAGCTTCTGCCTAAGAGCTCAGCTCAGTCTCCCCTCGGGCAGGTTCAAGCCATTCCCCTTGGCCTGTCCCTACAGGCCCTTGTCCCAAGCCCCTCTCCTTACAAAGTCCTTCTCTTTTCTCACATCCCAACACCAAACTGTGCTGGTGTCACAGCAAAACGGATGTGGCCGTGTTTGCTGCAATGGGTGGTGGTTTGATGAAGAGTGTAGATTGTGTAGCATTAAAATACACAGGAAGGATGAAGTCTTTAGTCCATATAATCTACGGACTTTGCCTTTGGAAGGCTGGAAGTATCTTCAGAAGAACAACTTAAATGGCTTCTCTCCTTGTGAACTACTGGATTTTAATTTAAATGCAGGATTTAATTACAATTCAATAATGTTAATAATATAAAGCTGCCTATTTTCATAAAGGTGTAGCACGGTGCTGCACAGCACCCAGGCGTTCCCTTTGCAGGTACAGAGTCCCTCAAGAGAGGATTTTCACATTAAGGGTGTGCTGACACTTGGCTGTGAAGATTTTGGGTGCTGTTCCACAGGAGGGGGGCTGCTGGAGGCAGGTTTTAGCACTATTTGTACCTGCAGATACTCTCTACCTGGCAAATACGTTTTTATATTGAAATAGTGGGTGAGGCGCTGGCACAGGGTGCCCAGAGAAGCTGTGGCTGCCCCATCCCTGGCAGTGCTCAAGGCCAGGTTGGACACAGGGGCTTGGAGCAAGCTGCTCCAGTGGAAGGGGTCCCTATGGCAGGGGTTGGAGCTGGAGGAGCTTTAAGGTCCCTTCCAACCCAAACCATTCCATGATTGTTTCCGTGTCTGGTTTCCCTGCTTTGGACCCGAGTAGCGTCAGCTCCCACCACGGCTCTGCCGGTGCCGGGCAGGAGGTGGGATCCGGGATGTGCGGGTTTGCTGTGGCTCGGAATTGAGCTCCTCGTGCACCCACCGCTAACGGGGGGTGAGGATTTAAAGGTATTTCCAGGCAGCTTTCTGCGACTCGCGGCGCCATAAGGAGCTGTGGCAGCACTAACAGGAGCTACCCCGAGGCTCGCAGGTGTTAGAGAGCAGATCTCTTTCTAGCGCTGGCTGCTTAGAGCGTCTCTCCTTAATCGGCTCTATGACCGTCTTCAGGACAGATTCAGACCCGAGCCGCCCCGCCGCCCGTCTGCGTTCCATAGCAAGGCCTCCGAATGCTTTGCCTGCGCCGGGCTCGCTCCCGCAGCTCTCTCTGCCCGGTATCCTCCACCGAGCGCGGCGGGAGCGGGGCGATGCTCTCTGTTCCCTTATCAGCGCCTGCAGGGCTTAGGCAGGAGCAGAAGTGGCCCTGGGCGCAATCCGTGTCAGCGGAGCTCCTGCGCCGGCCCGGGCCGCCGGCGGAGAACAAAGCGCTCTGCGGGGCCGCGGCGGCGGTGGAGCCGCTTCTGCTCCCGCTGCTGCTGCTCCACGTGGCCCCGGGCGCCGCGGCGGGACCCGCGCATCCCGCGGGGGCGCCCCCCAACCCGGCCGCAGCCAATCCCCGCCCGCCTACCATGTGCCGCGACCCCCTCCGGCCAATGGTGCCCCGGGTCACAGACCTGCTCCACCATTGCCCGGAAGCGGCGCTGGGTCCCTGCTGCTGCCGCCGCCGCCGCCGCCGTGCCCGCAGCGCAGGACGGGCCGCCCTGTGCCGGGACCGCCCCGCGCATGCTCCGCCGAGTGACGCCGCGACTCCATGTGTGAGAAGCGCATTATTTGGCAAGGGGGAGCCGCGGCGGCGGGGACTGACCGGGGATCCCCGGCGGCGCGGAGAAGGGGTCGGCCGGGAGCGGGCAAAGCGAACCGGCGGCTGGGAGCGGGGCTCGGCGGCGCCCGGGATGCGCGGGGAGCGGCGGGGAGGTGCCGAGGCGTGTGAGTGCCCAGATTAAAAGTTCTCGTCGGGTTTATTGTCTTGGGGAGGGAGAGGCGGCGGAGGCAGAGTTACCCGGGAGCGGCGGCCCTGGGGATGCGAGTGCGCTGCCGGGGCAGCTCCGGGGCAGCGGGGACCGCGCTCAGCCCTCCCCAGCCCGGCGAAAGTGCAAAGTCCGGCCCCGCGGCCGCCGGGCGGGTGATGGATGAGCGCCCGCCGGGGAGGGGAGTTCGTGCCCCTGCCCGCGGAGAGGAGGGGAGGGAGGGAGCGGGGCTCCCGGGGCGCATCCCCGCCGGGAGAGGTGAAGTTCGGTGGCGCGGGTCCTTCCCCGCGCCCGGGGGTCGCCGCCGGCTTTTGTTCGGCGCCGGGACGGCCGCCTGCGAGGCGTTTGTTTCGGAAAGTTGTTGCGGGCTTTCCGCCGGGCTGCTTCCTCTTCCTCCTCCTCCTCCTCCTCCTCCTCTGCGGCCGCTCGGGGCGGGGGCGCGGGGCTGGCGGTGCCCCGGGCTCTGCTCACCCCCGGGCGCGGCGGCACCGGGAGTGGGAGCGGGACCGGGACGGGCCCCTCGGGGGCCGCGGCGGGAGGCGGGCGGGGAGGGGCGGGGGGGGGGAAGCGGCCGCCCCGGGCAGCCCCCGCCGTGGCACTCGCCCGGCTGGCGGCCAGGCAGCGGCCCGTGTCACAATAAGAGTCCCCGCCCGCCCTTCCTGCGGCTCAAGGTGCGCCCCCCGCAGCCGCCCCCTCCCCGGGCCTCGGGCCGGTACCGGGGTTATCGGGGGGGCCCTGCCCCGGCAGGGCACGGTCCTGCCGCCCGCGGGAGGGGCCGGGACGTTCCTGTGGAGGTGGCGCTGCCCGGGCGTACCCCGGGTGCCGGCATCGCCTCTCGCTTGCGGAAGGGGGGGGAGCTCCGGGGCCGAGAACCGGCGTCGGGCACGGCTGTGGAAGGACGGAGCCGGGGAAGCCCCGTCCGTGCTCGGGATGCGCACACTGCTTGGAGGTTGTGCTCCTGGTTTGCTTCCTCGGGTTTGCATCCCCTGTTCCAGGTTTTCCTCTCGCTTGTCTCTCTTCTGGCTGCTCCATGCTCATGTATTCCTGTACTTTGTGCAGTAAGCCCAGAGGTTCCTAAGCTGATGGATGCACTGAGTGGCACAGAGAGAGCACTGATTCGCAGGCATGGCCCTAATCCTCGTTTCCAGCTTCTTTTGCAGGTGTTTGACTTTCATGTTTCTCTCCTGCAAATGCAGCTGGAAGCAGAGGTAGCAGAGCTGCTTGTAGAGACAGTTACACAGGAAGTGAAACGGAGGGGCCTTGGGGAATAAGAGACATGCCAGCAGGCTGGAAGCTGCCATACATCAGCAGGAGAAGAGGAGGAAACACTGCTCTCTTCCAGACAAGCTATTGACCAGTAGTGTCTCGAGTGGCAGGGGACATGGGTAGGGAGAAGCAAGAGCATAAAAGACATGCTGTTGGCAGAGAGGGTGAGGTGGTGGTAAGGGGACGAAGGCAAGAGCCAGCAGAAGACAGTAAGAAATAGAGGGATGTGTAGCACATGGGAAGCTTTCTGTGTAAGCCAATGTGTGATGTTCTCCTGGGCTCTGCACTGCTCTGGTGAGAAACGGTCCCACCAGCTCTTAGGATGGTACCTGCTGGGATGCGGGGGTGATCCCACACTGGGGTTTGGGCCCTGGGGAGGCTGATCCCCCCCTCCCCGAGCACTGTAAGCGGGGACCACGCTGTATGCAGGGAGGGGAACTGGTCGTTGGTGGGGACATCGCCCCCAGGTGCCATCTCAGCCACCTGAGATGGTGACACGCAGGGAGCAGCGTGTTCCTGTGCTGTGTGGGGTTTGTCACCCTCTGGACAAGGGAAGGGGCGGGATATCCTGGAGGCAGCGAGGCTCTGCTGGGGTCACCAACACTGAATTCAGCACTGGAGACTCTTCAGTTTGGGCTTTTTTCTGCCTCCAGCTGCCTGGTTTTGACAACAGGGAGCAGCTCGGTGTGAGGCTGAGGTTGTAAAGGCTCCTCGCTTTGTGTTGTCTGTGGGTGAGCAACAGGCTGATGCTCTTAGGAGTTTTCCTTGGGAAAAGAGCTGCTGCTACCAGTTAGGTTGCTGTGCTTGAGCTGATGAGGGATGAAAAGGACCAGGTTCTGTGCTTGAAGTAAAACCTGCCTTGCTTGACTTAACAGGAGGAGTGAGTCGTATCCAGCTGTGGAGTGGGCTGGGGGAAGCTGGATATTCCTCTTTCCTCAGAGCTGGAAGCACAGGGGAGTAGCTAATACCATCCCTACGAGCATTACATCGCCATGGGGTTACATCAGGGTGATGATGCAACACTGCTGGCGGATGATGCAGTGTCAGTATGCTAATGCTGGAACTTAATATAACTGCCTTACGACTTTCCTGTGGTAATTACAGGCCAGCTCTCACACGTGGAGCTGCTGGGAATCAGTGATTCCAATTGGGAGTGCTGCTGTCCCGGGGACGGTTGGGAGCTGTGGGCAAGGTGAGGAGAAGGACTGGGATGATTTCATGCAGGCAGCAGCACATGGGCAGAGGTACAAGGTTTGGTCCTTAAAGGGACCTCTCTGTGTGGCCGCAGGGTTGAGCTGGACTTAGCCTTTGCCATCGAAGGAGCTGTAGTTGAGGAAGAGCTCTGGGTTTACGGGCTCACACTGCTCTTCCTGGTGTGCTCCCTCAGCCCTACCTATCCATAGGTACAAGCATATCGAGTCCCTTCTGCTGGACTACTTCAGGGGGTGAAAGGAGGAATGAATGCTCCGAGGAAAGCAAGGAAGTCATCTTGTGGCGTCTTCCAGGTGCTGGGGTTATTCTAATACTGAAATCAAGAGGTGATTGGGGTGCCCCATTGCGTTCTCAGCGGTACCTCCTGAGATGGTGTCCAGGTTGCCACCAAGCCATTGAAACTCAGTGGATGTGGTACAAGAACGAGGGAAGGATGGAGCTGGTGGGTGCTGTGGCGAACAGCAAGGCTGGATGGAGCACTGGCTTCATGTGTAACTTCTGAGTGGCAAATGCCATGACATTCAGAAGGTTTTCATTGAGCGTGTTTTGAACCACAAGCCTGCAGGTGCAGTATCTGGATGTTACCCCCTGAGAGGAGGCATTGAGTGTAACATGCATTGGGAAATCCAGCTCTTGAGGCCCCAGAACGGAGGTTTTGGATCCTGTGCCCATCTGAACTGGGAGCTCTTCCCCAGCCTTAGGTTCCCTTTGCTCCTGTGCTTTCTTACTGCCTGCCTGTGAGGGGAGTGAGCGGTTGTGTGCCTGCTGTGCTTGTTTCCCAAAGCCTGGCTCCCTTCTGGCTCGTGGCAGGTAGGAAGCTGTGTGTGAACATGGACCTGTGCAGGGCCAGCTCTCATCCTGACTGCAGGGACTGGGCGCTGCAAGTGCAGTGTCCTGAGCATGTTTTGTTGATGGGGGGAGTGAGATAGGAGCCCTCTTCCCTCCTCTCCTGGTGGCAGACAGAATCCATGGCAAGAGGATGCATTTGTGCCCTTAAAAACTGGAGTTTGGCATTTTAGTCATGGACATCCTGTTTCTTTATGTGCTATGTGGAGAGACTTGCTGGGGACCCTCTGCCTTGGGGTTTTTAGGCTTTTCTTGCCTTCCACCCCTCCTTGGGTGCATTTCCATGGCACCCCTTCACCTGGGAGCTGCCATCTGTTGGATGTGGGGACCTCACACAGTCCCTGCTTTATTCCTTGGGCACCATCTGGAATGTTGGAGGTCATTCATGTCTCTGCTTTGCACTGCTCTGAATGCCCTGTGCACATCAGGTGAATCATGTGTCCGCTTCGAGGTGGGGAATAGGAGTGGGAATTGCAGCACTGTGGGAGAGGGCCGGAACAAAGGTGAAGGTTTACTAATACCCAGTTCCCTATGGTGGCTTTTTGCTGCTCAGCACTTCCCTGCCTGCTCTGTGCCCTTTTAATGGTGTTCTGTGGTATTTGACTTGTTGATGTGTCCGGTCTGGGCCCTGTCCAGTGGGGCACCAGTGAAGCAATGGGGACCAGCTTGGCATCACCTCGGGAGGCCGCAGCTATGGGCAGGGAGGAATTCCCTGTTCAGCCCAGAGCAGCTCTCCCTGCACTGGGGTCTGTGCCCTGCTGGGTTCCTCTCTAGTGCAGTGAGGCTGGAAAGCAGTGCCCTGCCTCTCGCTGCATGAGCAAAGTGGGCATTTGGAGGGGAAAAGAATCATCTGATGAGGCCGTTTGGGCTGGATGGGGCAAAATGGCAAAACCAGGGATGGTTTGCCTGCTTGTGGACTCTTCAGGAGTGCAAGTTGGGTTGGGTTGCTTGAAATAAGGCAGAAAGTGTAAACCCTTTGCTAAGTGCAGCAGAGCAATGCCCTTTTCTCTCCTTGGCTTTATTACCAGTGGGGTTTGCTGCAGCTCAGCATTGAGTGCAGGATGGTGCTGGTCCGGAGCCCCTGGGTCCAGTGCAGGCTGGAGCTGCAGTGGGTGCACCCCACATGTTTGCCCCTCTTACGGCATCTGGAAGATCACAGTGCTCGTGTCCTGCGTGCTGCAGTAACTCCTCATCCTCACCTTCCCTGTCCTGCCTGGAGGAGAGGTTTTCTGTTGTCTTGGGTAAAGTCACTTAAACCTCCCTGTGTTGGCTGCTGCAGCGGGGTCCAAGTGTGTGTTACAAAGGAAACCTGCAAAGGGTGGCTGGGATCCTTTCGGTTTAGCCTTCATCACCTTGTGTCTGTGAAGGTTTAACCCCTGTCACCTCCTGTTTCACACGGGAGGCTTTGGGAAGGGGCAGGGGGGAAGTGTCCTGGGAAATGCAGGTGAGTCTGGGGAGCAGAACGGAGCAGCCACAGCCCCTGAAGGCCAGAGGAGAAGCAGCATCCATGTGGAATGGGCTCTCCTTCATCTCATGGCTGGTACCCCAGGGCTTGGTGCTCGAGGGGGGAGCACATCCCATGGCCTCCTCAGGGGTGGTTTGTGCACACAACCTGGTGTGCTGCCCTGGGCCTGACGGGCCCTGTCCTTTCACAAGGCTTCTCTTGCTGGTCGGGTAGTGCTGCCATTGAACACAATGCACCCAATGGGCTGTGTCACCAGTGACTGGAGTCCTGAAGTGTTCCAGGAGTTTCAAGTCTTGTTTAGGTATCCAAGGGTTCTTTATATCAATTCTTTCTTACTACGTCTCCTTTGGGCTTTAATTCTCTGCTCTTAGGAGTGGGTGAAGCTCTTCACCTTCTGCTCCGTTTCCTGCTTCCCTGCTCCCTTCCCTGCTCTCTCCCCTCCCTCCCCCTTTTTCCTTCCCAAAGGAAAACCACCACCAGGAGGATACTGCAGGAGTCCAGGAGTTTTCCTGCCTGCCTTTGGGTGACCCCCACGTGAGGCTTTGCCCGGGGCTTGGCTCTTTGGAGACCCTGGCATTTGCTATTCCAGCTGAAGAGGCTTCCCTGCTGCCCTGCTTGGCAGCGCTGGTCTCCAGTTCCTTTAACAATCAGGAGGTGACTGAGGCTTCGCCTGCGTTTCCCTGCTCCTTGTGGTGCCCTGCAGTGAGCTGCAGCAGGAAAGGAATCAGGGTGTGAGGCTTCAGCAGTGGGTTTGGTGTCTCCTCTGTCCCCTTCTGGCTTGGCCATATCCCTGTACACTCGGTTCTGCTCCAGTCTCTGGACCCGTGTGCATCCAGAGGCAGTTCCCTGCTTCCAGGCACCCAGAGCAATCCGTGCCTCCTGGGGCCTTCACTCCAGCAACAGGAAAGTGGAGCCTGGAAAAGAGCATTCCCACCAGGCAGGGGATGAGCCTGACAGGAAGGGAACACCATTCCCATTTCCAGTCTCTTCAGCTGAATGGGAATGGCTGTTGAGGAAGCGAGGTACCCAAGTGGTAGTGGGTGATAGTCCCTTATCCCTGCACCCATGGGGTGGCAAGGACAGTGTTGAGCTGTGGGGGGGGTTCTGCTAAGAGCACTTCATCATCACCCTTTAACAGTGAAGCTCTGACAACAGTGGGTAACAGTGACCCTCCACAAGGTGCTTACTGCTTTGCAATCAGGTTTGATGGAGCCCACATGAGCAGGGTAAGAGCTGGGCTCAAGGCCGGCTCTTTGTTTATCCCCTCCCCTTTCCCTGTTTAATAGCCATAAGAAGAAGGGGTTTATGACGGGCTCTTTGCTTTAGGGTGCCAGATTACTGGAGCTGAAGGGATAAAGGCTCATCTTAGAGCTTTCAATGGGAGATAAGCATGAGGCCTTGATGGAGTTTTCAGATAGCCTGGAAATGGGTTCTGACAGGACCCATCTTGTCCCTTTTGGAGTGCAAGCACCCAATTGCCGTGCCTGTGAGGAGCTGATGTTCAAGGAAGCTTTCCTCTTGCCTGCTCCCTGTAAGCTCAGCACAGCCTTGCAGTGGGGTGATGCCGATTACTCCTTGTTTCCAGACTCAATGGGGATGGAGGCTCTGGTCAGTGCTGGCTGCTGAAGCCACGGCCCCTGTGCTCCAGGCCCCATCCTCGGCACCAGGCTGGGCAGGGATGCTGATGCACCAGAGCAACCATGCATGTTGTGGCTGCTCCATAGGGAAAGGGGGTCAGCAATGGCTTTTCTTGTAGCTTGCCACAACTCCTGAAGACTTTCCAGGTCCTGAAATCAGACAATGGAGTCATGGGATTCCATACCTCAGGCTGATGTTCCTGTTGCTGGAGGTAGGAGCAGCGTCCCTGCCATGGCCTGTTTGCTGTGCCCAGTATGTTCTGCAAGAGCCATGGGATCAGGAGCTTTGGAATGCTTGTGGGAATTAAAGGAAGTAAACCCAAGGCATTCATATTTAATAGGATCTCAGCAAATCCTGGCTCCAGCAGAATGGGGTGCTGCAGTTGGACACGTGTCCGTGGCACTGTGGGGTGTGCTTCACGCACGGCATAAACCTCACATGTTGTGGTTGTCATTGTAGAACAGTGAAATACCATCTGTGCCAATGCAGGCACGGGGCATTCCCTTCTGGGGGGAGGGAAGATGGCATTTGGAGCAGCTTTTCCATAGCTGTTCCTCAAAACAGGAAGAGTGTGGCTCATGGTGCCGCTTTTCCTGAAGGATCCCAATGGGGAGATGGTTTTCCCCACAAAACTTGACAGTAATCCTGGCCTAACTTGGAGCAGCTCAGCCCAGCTCTCATCTCTGTGGGCTCTGCATCATAACTCTGCTTTCCCTTCAAGTTATGCTCCAAGATCCTGGGTAGCCCTTGCAGGTAAGGCCAGCGTTAACTTAATGCCTGGAATTGGTCTTGTGGAGGGACTCTGTGGGCTGCAGTGCAGGATGGAATGGGAGCATCACCCAGAGAAGCTTCTGGATTGTGTGTCAACAGGGCTTAACAGATTCTGCAGAGACTCTGGGGGCAAGGCCATGAATAGGCAGAAAGAAGCCAAATGAAGCCGGAAGGTCGGTGGGAAGCAGAGTGTCTGTGGGGTGCTCTGGTGCATGGCACGTACCCAGCCCCTTCTGGGCTCCACAGTTCCTTGGTTCTTC